AACAACAACAACAACAAAACCCAAATTCTAATTCTTCAGGAGAAAGGAGAAATAAAGTTAACTACTTAAAAGTAGAATGCAGCCCAACATGGTAGTTAACTATTCTCCAAAAATAACATATTTTAGCTTTTCCCTTCCTACTTTACTTACTAACAGGATGCATGTGAATTATGTCCTCTTTCAAGACTGGATCGCTGTGTAGACGTCTATTTAAGTGTTAGCATGTGGGTAAATTCTTAATTGACTGGTAAATTGCTTCCTGTCTCTTCTGATAACAAATATATGTTAGAAAGAAAGGGAAGGCAAAGAAATTAAAGGATTCCTTTTGCAGTTAGTGCTAAATTGTAGGGTCACAATACCTGGAATTTTCAGTGGTATTTTATTGGAAGTAGTGAATGAAGATAGAGTTTGCAGTATTGCCTTTAACCTTTTTATTGTTTTTCAAGGATCATATCTTCTGTCTTGACTTTTTAAAACACTACTTGGAATAAAATTTATTGCTATATTCAGAAGGAATAGATGCTTATTTATGGATTTTGGTCTGAAAACTAGCTTAAATGCTAACACTGTATCAAGAATTTGCTTGCTAGTAGCAGTATAGATGGTAGTGATAAATAGCCAGCTTTGTGAAGTTAAGAAAATCATATTTTTTAATTAGTGTAAGTGTCTCTTAAGGTATTTAATTCTATGTTTATGAAAAATTAAAGCTTGATCATCAATGTTCCTTAAGGACAAGGCAGAAACTAGAAAAACATGTAGCAGTTTTCTAAGACCTGAAGAAATTAGCTCAGAGGCTGCAAACACACATCTGAAGCCAGAAGGGCACTTTCTACTCTAGGATCATTATGATCACATAAGTTGGTGGTTCTGAATAAGAGAGTTGTTCTGGCAGAGAAGCAGAATTGCTGATAAATGAGGGATACAGACAGAGATTACAAGGGGGTAGAAAACTTTGAGAGAGACAGTTTGTTAGCATTTATTAATGTTAATTGCTTTATAGAACAAAACTTTTTTCACATGTTTTTGAGAGTTCTGTGGTGCTAGAGTATTCCTGTTGTGGGGAGTTTACTGTAAGGCCTGTTTGCAGATGCAAACATTTGCAAATGCAGACATTTTAAAAGCAAGAAAATATCCTGCTACTTCTCAAGTTTGAGTTTTATTTTTCTCTCTGCCAGAATAACTTGCTTAAATCTGCTGCTTAAAAAAACAATTATCAGCTTTATGAATGCTCCTGAGTGTGTTTCTGAATAGGAAATGGAGGCTAGTAGTTTGCCTGAGACACATGAGCAGTGAGAGGAGCCGCACTCTGCACAGACACTCGCTGCTTTACATTTCTAAAGCATCTTTTATTTCTTGTGCAAAGCTGTGCTTTGGCCTGAGGCCCTCACAGCTGCTCTTTGGACTGTATCAACTGTTTGGTTTACATTTCTGCAAGGAGCTGCTACATCTATTGAATTTTTTAAAAGTAAGAGAAAGCTGAATTTCAGGAAAGTATCATAATACTGCTCTGAACAGAGAAGTGATTCTAAGCAGTGTTGACTGGAGCAGAGGGAAGGGCAGGAGATAAGATATTTTAATGGCAATTGGTATTATGGTCTTGTTTTCAAATATTAACCTCTTGGAAGGTAAGTGACTGCCTTGCTGCATTAGAGCTACCAGTTACACTAGATGATAGGTTTTACATCATTGTGGTCCATTAAGCTATAATTTTGAGTTTTGCCTGCCTAGCATACGTATAACTGCGACAGAGGGTAAAGTTAAATGCAGCCCCAAGTATAAACAATTTAATTATTTTTTTTCTTCTTTTAAGCTTTTTTTTAAAAGTTTTTTTTTTCCTTTTTTTAATACAAAAACAGCATAACCTGTTTTTCAGGGACTTTAATTTAGGTACTTTTGCTTAGCCTTGTGCATGTCTGCTGTTGCTAGCAGAGTGTTAAAGCAAAATGTTGATGGAGATGTTATCTCTTGGATGGAAAGTACTTTTTAACTTCCTGGTTTTTGAATCCTAGCTTTTAAAATGAATATTGTATATGGATTTTTTTGGAGAGTCTTCAGAGACAAAAGCATTTTGAGAGGGAAAATCTTTTTGAATCTATCAAAACAAATCTCAGATTTCATTGGCAAAGTATTTTTGTTTTCTTTCTTCCCTTTAAGTTATCTCACTCAAGATAAAAAAAAAAGTTTTATGTATTGCTTTTAGTCTCTCTCTTGTTCTATATGCCAATTAAAATTTGTGGTATGAAATCTGTTGGCTAAAACACTTGTTTAGTGTTTAATTGCAGTCTCAAACACTTTCTAAACAGTAGAGTATGTCAATTTTAAATATTTATGTTTTGAAGCTCTGTGTAGCACAGTAAAACTCCATGATTGTCTTCCATGTGATTATGGTAACAGAATTCATTTTAAGGGTTACATCTGTTGATCTTCAATCATTGTCATCTCAGTGGCATTTGATTAGCCTGTGCCAGTGGAGCCCGCGCTGCTGCTGCACGATACAGTGGGGTCCCCCGGCATGAAAGACGCCGCATTTCAGCCACTGAGAAAGTCAACGGCTGGGCTCGTAGCCCTGGTTCAGGAGGAATGTTTGCAGTGTCATTAGGGATTCTCAGTACTGCAGTTCGGCACTTAAGAGCCTGCAGGACCCTCGTGCAGCTGGAGATCTGCTTACACTGTAAATAGCACTGCCTACCAGTTGAAATAGTGGCATATTTTCCCAGGATCCTTCCATTCTGAGTAATGCCAAGCTTATACCTGTGAGCTTCTGCATAGCCATATGTATTTTGCAATTGTCAGTGTGCTCTGTGTTTAGTTAAAACGTAAAGTCAACAACTTAGTAAGCTTTAAAAAATGGGGAGTAAAGGGAGGAAATGGATCCAGTTAAATTATATTGCTTTTATTTTTATTTTTTAACTGCTTTCCTACTACAGACGGATAGAACTAAGTAAACCAAAAACTCTATTGAACACTGACCTGGCTAGACAAGACTCTGAATCATCCAAGAACTGACTTAACTTGGAATTGAGTCTGATTCTTTCCTTGGATGTACTTCCACAGTTTTCCGTTAATGTGGTAGAATGAACAGTAGCATATTTTGTGTCTCAGAGGTTTCAGATAGAAACTTGGATCCTCAATTTTAAATATTAGAAGGAGGAAACAAACTGTCTGGGCTCCGTTAACGATTTTTGATATTTGGAATGAGCTGTATGGGCCAATAGTGGGAAGATTCCAGAAGGACCATCATGCTCTCAGCTTGATATATATCTAATAGGGTCTCTAAGCTGCTTCTGTCTTGTGCACTTAACACCTAAAATTCTGCGTGTCAAAATTCTGGGTTTGGTATACAACAGCAAGAAAGTGAAGAATAATCAGAGCACTACTGATGTTCATGTCAGCAATTTTTCTCCTGTCTTTCGTAGCAAATCTTCAAAGGGAAGTGTGGCATTGGAATTGATAGTGCCATGTAAGAGGAAATAGTGATGTATCAACCCCCCTAATGATCAGCCTCATTATTTGAGTCACAGTTATACGAGTGCTTATGTAGTTACTCTTCACAAGGTCTTTAAAGAACACTGGACTGCTTGAGCAAATCCAGATCACGAGCTGTGGTTGGTTTTCCACTATTACTGAAAAGGCACACAAACGGCAGCAAAATAGAAGGTATTTGAGTTAAAAATGATCAGATACTGCAAAATGGCATAAGGGTTCAAAAGCAACAGCAGTTATTTCTCTTAGGATTAGATGAATTTGTAAGTTGGCCCCCTCTTTAAATTTGGTGTTTCATTTTGTAAGCCCTAGCAGAGAGAATAGGCAGTCATTAATAGTGGCCTTAGGTAGACACGACTTTTTGAAAAGGTGGTAGCCACCACAAAAGCTAATTTTTTGGGAATATTATCTCAGCTTGCTTTATTTTCTGTATTTTCTGAAAACACAGAGGATCGTGTTGCCAAGATGAGGAAGGGCTTTTTTGGTGGGGGGAGGGGGGTTTAAAGCAAAACATTTAAATATTTTAGGTTTTCAAAATATTGTGCTTTTGACACTGCTGAAATTGAGTTTCTCATACTGGTTTGCCACAAAGTACAAAGAAATCCACTTGTCTTCATGCCTTTAGTTCCATGCATGCCTAGTAGTCACCTGTAAAATATACGCAGATGCTTGAGATTATCAAAAACACCTTCAATAACTTTATACAATATGGTTAGTAGTGATGAGAGAATTGAATAATGGCAATTGTCTTTATTTTGGATTCTAAAACAGCTAAATTGTGAAGCAAATAAGGTAGGACACTGTAATGATGAGGTACCAGTAGCTGTGTTGCAAACATGCTTTTTTTTTGTTTTTGTTTTCAACTTCTGAGCTATTCACATATTCATGAGACTAATGAGGTCAGTATTGCTGTGAAGTACTGTGTTTTAAAATAACCAATATGCTGTATATGCACATTTTCAGTAACTGTGTTTATACAGTGAGAAGGCATGTTACCATTACCACTCATAATTCTTCTGCATGTATTATGCATTTTATCCTGTTGATTTTTTTTTTGAAATACATAATAAAGAACTTGTTTCCAGGATTACAGTTCTGATTTCGTCCAATTGCAAAAATATCCTCCTGTTATGTGTTGTTATATGATAGCGTACTGCTGCAGTAAAGCTTTTATTCTGAAGAAATGTGCTATTCCAGGGTGTTAGAGGTAGCCTGCAATAAAGGAAGCGTTGCGGTAGAAGCAAGCCGGCGTAGTGGCTAAACTGTGAAAAGGGCATCTTGTTTGGAAATCAAATTTAATTAAAAAGCACTCTCAATCTCTAGTAATATAACTGCTTTAAATTTTCAGACAGTGGGAGTAGCTCACCGTTGCCCAAGTATGCCTCATCTCCCAAACCAAACAACAGCTACATGTTCAAACGAGAGCCCCCAGAGGGATGTGAGCGAGTGAAGGTCTTTGAGGAAATGTCGTAAGTAATGCCTTTTATATCAGCTGGTATCTGCAAAGCAGTAAACCTTTTTACTGAGCCCTTTCAACTGCAGATGAATAAACTATTCCAGCTGATGAGTTTTTTCAGGAGCAAACTATTCTTAGTTTGTGCAGAAGAGAAGTTGAAGTGTTCACGTTGGTTTGAAGAGGAAATGGAGTCTTTTATGATTGAACTCTTTTTGTGCATTTATAAAAGGCAACAAAAATCCAAGCAGAAAAGATAAGGTACATTTAATTTCCTAAGCGTTTATAAACCTTTTTATTAACTTTGTAAATGTTCACGGCTTAAAACAAAAACCTCTCCTTGTCATACTTTATCAGTTTCAAGCATAGGTTTTGTTTTGATACATACAAAACACGTAAAATGGAATGAAACCTATGTAAAGTGATGGTGGATGGTTGTATGGCAAAGGCTTTGCTCAATAGTTCTGCTGTTGAGCAAGAGACGGGAAATGAAACTTTTGGATATCATGTCTTTTCTCCTAGAGCCAGCAGTATTTGAGCACATGCTGTCGAGGTTGCATGCGTAGCTCCCGAGGATGAAAGGATTCAGGAGGGGGCATTTCTTGCTCTAATAGCGCTCATTGCCTGCTGGATGGTAAAGGAGCAAAGTTGTTTTTTGGAGGAAACCTCCAGACAAATTTCGGATTATGGCAAAGGAGAAATCTGTTTTATGGAGTTTCTCAAAGGGATTTATTATGCCTGTGCTGTTTCTGCAATATTTTTATTAAAGAAAATTTGTGTCATTCTAAATTACCCCAGCATTTTTCCATGTGCATATGTACTGCAGATTTTTTTTTGCTGAAAGTTGCATGTTTATCCAGTAATTACCAAGTCATTTTTGTGACAGTACTATTTTTAATGCTGTGGATCAGTTAGCTGACTACCAATATGGAAGATGTTTGCCCCTCTGTCCAGTTAATCCCATTCCTTGTCATTCGCATTTTAGTAACTTGTAGAACCTCAAAGTTCATTACAAACAAGATGGTTTTGGGTGGTCGGATGTGTAATTTTTCTTTCTCGTTGTAGGTCTCGTCAGCCTGTCGCAGCCCCTCTCTTTTCATGTCCTGACAAAAACAAGGTTAATTTCATCCCAACCGGATCAGCTTTCTGTCCTGTAAAGCTCCTGGGCCCCCTGCTTCCTTCTTCAGACCTGACGCTGAAGAACTCTCCAAACTCTGGCCAAAGCACAGCTTTGAGCTCGCTGACTGTCGAGCAGCTTGCGACTCGGGTCTCTTTCTCCTCTCTGTCGGATGACACCAGCACAATGGACTCTACAGAGGTCTCGGTACAACCACCCCAGCAGCAGCAGTCGCTTTTGCAAGAAATTCAGACTGAAGAGCATTCCTCTCCTCAGAGCTACGTGTTAATCTAGACGCAGGCGGAGCAGGTCTCTGCCCTGAAACGAGGACTGAGGAACCCATAGTTCAGATACATCTGCATGAGGTGGCAACCTTCCAGAACAAAACAGAATACTTATCAGCAGTCTAAAAAATATCTCAACACTGTTCTTGGCAGGGACAGAATTCATATTCAGCATTTTTTTTTTTGGTGAAAAAGCAGTGATGCCTGCAGAATCCATATATCATTAAGCGTTTTAAGTGGAGACTATGCATTTCATAGTATGTTTGACCAGATTAGTACTGTGTCCTGTGTTCTGTTTCAAATTCTACAGTATAAATAAGCTCTATATATATATAAAAAAGTTGCCTGTCTGAATAGAAAATGTCTTGCTGTGTTGTGTCCTATGGAAAATACTGTACTTCAGGATTATGTTTACAATTGATCCAGGTGTTTATGTTTCTAACTTCTGTAATACACACAATGCAAAAAAAAAAAAAAAGAAAATTAAAAAAAAAATGGCCACAACAGTTGCACAGTGCCCACCCTATGGCCTAGCTTCAGGTACTTCTCTCGAAGTGTAAACTCAGGTAACTTGGAATGTATATCATATTGGGAACTTAAATATTTTACAGCTACAAAGCTAAAGAGGGAACATCACTCTTTTGCCTTTCCTTATTTTATGCATTAATATTTCCTCATTACATTCCACTTTCTTGGAATAAGTGCATTCAGATCCAGGTGACCCTGGACATGGGTGAACATGAGGAGAACCAGCAAATCTGTGATGTATATCACTTTGTCATGTGCTTACAAGTAAAACAGCTGTTGCGTTTACTGTCATTTCAATATATGTAAAATGTGGCATTTACAGGTTTCAGGTGTTGCTCAGTTACTGACTGTTAAACTGTTGCAAATAAAGTGTTCAGTGCTAGGCTGTACATGAGAAACATTCCATGTTGTGTGTGAAAGGATTTTGAAAGACAAGAATGTTTTTGTTCAGCTACAGAAATTCTTTCAGGTTTCACAGGGGGTGATGGGGATTTCCTCTCATGTTTTTGTTGGCAGTTAAGGATGTGAAATGCTACTGTTACCGACTACAAGTCAAATTAATGTTTAGTTTCTCTTTTGGAAATGTTCATTCATTTGCTGGTTGGAAATAGGTTTTCAGATTTTGTTTAAGCAGTGTTAGATGAGCAGCATTTTATTTATGTAGTGAGTAATTGTGTTTGGATTTAAGTCCAAAAGTAGCAAGTGAGTGTTTTAAAGAGGGGCGGGGAAAACAATAGTTTTAAGTACATGTTGCTTAATCAAAGTTTCTCCGATAACTTTCAGTTACCTAAGTTCTGTGTATAAAAGTGTTTTTTTTTTTTTTTTTTTCCTCTCCTCCTTAAATGTGAATAAAAATCCCAGTAAGTATGTCCTGGTTCTGCAGGCTGGACACTTTCTTAAAATAGCGCATGGCAAGAGCTGTGTAGTGGTGCTCCTCCGTTGCACCGGCACAACCAGGGCGCCGCGTTCAGAGCTAATTTCCTGTGATACAAAGAGGACCCCAGAGGCAAAATAAACTTGATGTTCTTGCTCCATGGCTTTCAGCGCAGCGGAACTGCGTTTATGCCGTCTGCTCCTCGGAGAACAAGGTTCACCTTTTCCAGGAATTGAGGAGATCAGTAGCCTGCAGCTACGGAGCATTTAGACTCGCTCCATTGCTTTTTTTTCTTTTGAAGATGAGCTGGGAGGCGGGGTGAGAGTAAGCCACCAATAACTGCCCACTGAGCATGTGTTTTCTTTGGATATGAAGGAGCAGAGCTTCTTTGTTATTGCGAAGGTTTCGTTGATACTGTCTTGCAAGGTGGAATTTGCAGCCTATAAAAGTTACTGGGTTTTGAGTCCCCTTGCAGAAAATGCATAAGGAGAGAGCAGTCTGCCTAAGCATTTTCATATGAAAAACCTTGAAACACAACAGCCATCTTTAACCCTACTAATCTCAGGCCTAGGAGAAAGCACTGTATGTTTTATAGACTGAAGATAAAGGGGAGAAAGTACTTGTGAGTATCAATTCCTTTTAATATTTTACTTTCTAGATTAACGGGGCAGTATGATGACCTTTTTGTGCTCTGGTTCTGTCCAGGTAAGGAGCTGCAGTCTCAGTTACTGGTGGTAGCTCACCAAGGGAGGCGACGAGTGGGTTGGAGATCAGTGGTGAATTCTGTGTGACGTTTGCCATGCCATGACTTGTTCTTTATTTTATTTTTCCATGAGAAACTAAATATTAATTATATTGCACATTTGTTCTTAGCAGGTTTGAAGGTTTTGAACCAAATGTGTTAAAGCTAGTGCTTTGCCATGTAAATTTCCCAGCAGTTGTTTATCTCAATTGTATTCTACATTCAGCTGTAGAAACCTGTCAAATATTGTTTAAAGTTTTGTACATAGTTGTACTGTTATTTCTAGCCACTGTGCTCAACAGTATTCAAGTTATCACCCAATATTGCTTTACATGAGGAAAGTGTGGCTTCTGTTTTGTATTTTTTTCAGTATAGAAATTCCTGTGTCTTATTTAAATAAAAATTATTAGTAAAAAAAAAAAAAAAAAAAAGGTGGTGAGGAGCGGGGGGGTGGGGACACACAAAAGCAATGGTTCATATATTTGTTTTCCAAACTGTGTATGAAACACCATAGAATGAGATTAAAGTTTAATATTGTTACAGATTTACATCTTAAGATAATGGTAACCAGGTATCTTCGTGGCTAGTATGCTGTGTCTCCTTAACTAAAATAATCTAAGATTTTTGTTCATAACACCATGTTCTAGGGAGGAAAAATTGCCAAACAAGCTAAAATCTAAACCATGCTAAAAAGAGGTAATTTCTGCTTATTTTCTCTCTTCAGAAAACAGAAAAAAAATCAGTTAAACATTATTGGCAAGTGCATACCTGCTGCTATGTTTGTGGTACGCCCAATATCAGCTTTATCTGTTGAGAATTATGAAAGCCATTAGATGTTTCACTATGGGAAACTAAACAAAAACCGTGGAGGATGTGGTATAAATCTACTGACAGTCTTGGTTTCATGTTGTTTTGTGAGATTCAAATGATTGTCATTTGCCTTGCAAAATCATTCTTTGCAGAAAGGGTGGGGAGGAAGAAAGAAGAATTAAATACATGTGAATCTCCTTCAAAATCCGTGTTTACTGAAGAACACAATTGCAATAATTGGTGAGAATGGTTTAATGCTAATTATCACTAAAGGGAAAGGTAGGTTTTCAGCCTCCCAAAGATGGTTTCCTCTGTGACTGTGTTCAGGACACTAACTGAAACTTAAAACACTGGAGGTTTGGGGCTGCAGAGATGCAGTATCGTAACAAGGGGCTCATAAGCCCTCATAAGAGAGTACTTGGTGGACCTAAGTCAGAAACATCTTGGTGTCAGTCATTTCCTTGTAGCTGTACGTGGCTTACGAGGAAGAGGTTGGTGGTTGTGCTGTCCTCAAACTGGCCTTGGCTGGGGCAGTCTCAGTCTATCTGTGTGTGGAAGGACGTTACTTTCCTACGAAGCCTACGGGAGGCTGTCACTCATCCTGGGAAGATGTGGTATGGCTTGTGCCGCAGGTTTTCACCATCGATGCCGAGCGAGGCACTGGCCGCTGTGACATGCGGTTTCCCCTGGAATTCTGTCCTTAGGTCCGTTCCCTGCGTGCGTTTCCTCACAGCCGCCAAGCTTTGAGCCTTAGAAGTGCTGGGATTGGAGCTGTAGTGAGGTCAGTGCCTTGTGCTTCTGCTTTGTGACTTGCCTGTGGTGTTTTCCAGCAGTTCCCAGCTGTGGAGACGGGCTGGAGACCTCGGTGGGAAGCGTAAGGAGGCCCCTCGGCCACCTACACGGGGGCAGGCGGGGAACAGCAGGTTGCTCGCAGGGAGGTGACCTGGGGTTTCCTGACAAAACAGCTCAAGGGCCAGATACTGGCCCGAGGGTAGAGCCCTGGTATCTTATAGTGTTTAAACTTAAGCCTGAAATGATACGAAATGAACATACGGAACTGAGTAGATTAGAGACACTGGCTGACAAGGCATCAGTTGCAAGCGAAGACCATGGAGGCTTTGCAGGCTGGCTCTTGGCCTTGCTCCATCGTGACAGATCGAGACTGTCATCTGTTACCTAAAGTAAAATGCAAACTGCATGGAGATGACGAGAGATTAGCAAAGTGTAAGTCGGTCACTGGTGTACAACAGCCTGGTTTGCTTTGCGAGATGGAGCCCTGCAAGCTGAAATCTGAAGCTACACAACTGGGAGGAAATGACTGTAGGTCCTGCAATGTGTTTCCAGGACCTAAATCCAAGGAAGAAATGAGTGAAAACTCCACAGTGCTTTCATTAATTGCCTGTACGTGTACAGCTGTTCATAGTGTGGTGCTTGGCTAAAGAAAGTCATTGACTGAGCATAACCATGTAGTTAAAACGTGTATCATGCCTCTGTTTGGCATTAGCGTAACTGGTCCTGGAAAATTGTCTAGTTCAATTGATACTGTAAAATGTTGGAGAACGTTCAGGGAAGAGCTATAGGAATGAGTAAGGTACTGGAAAAAATATATAGCAAAAGTTTGTACAAGCGCAATGTGTTTGATGTAACAACTGAAGAGCTGGTTTAATTCCAGTTAGTAAACACCTACTTAGGAAATAGTTTGTAATGAGCTACTTGAGTGTAGCAGATGTGCAATACTAAGCTCAAATAGCTAGAAAGTGAAGCTAAGCTGAATTGGTCTGCTTTGGATCTATTTCATTATTAGACTTAGCATTGGGACTTACTCCAGCAATAAAGCTAGTGTGGTGCTGGGGCCAGCTTGCAGAGGTGCTTTTTCAAGCACTGGCATTTTTAAAGTAAGATTGTTTTGCACAGGATTTAGGAAGATGAATCTGGAAGTTGCAATCTCTCTGCTGTGTACATTGGGGAAGCCAGTTGCAATGATCTTACAGGTGTTGCTAACTCATGGTTATGTTGGGCTTTCGAGATTTCAGACTGTGACTTTACAGAGATATTTTTAACTCAAGTATGCTTGTACCAGTAAAAAGCAGAATAACGTAATATCTTTAACATAGAGAATTAACACTTTTTTTTTTAGCTGCCTGGAATACTCCTTTGAAGATAATTTTTGCTTTTAGAAAATTTTGGGTTGAGTCACGCTTGAGTGAAGCATCCCGTAAAGCAGAGGTGGTTGAAGAGCTTTTTAGCGGCTTTGATTTTTGTCACCTCTTCAGTGGCAAGAAATGAGTGGGTGATGCCCTTTGGCCAGGCAGTGGGTCACAGAAATAACCTCTTACTCAAGCAGGGCTAAAATGAAAATGTTGATCAAGAAGGTAGGGCATGTGCTTAGTCAAGAGCTTATGGGAGGTGAGTGAATGTGCAAACAACATTGCAAATTCCATTGGCAACAAGGAAGAAAAAAAGCAGATCAAGCTGGGAAGAGAGATGGTCCCTTTTAAAGAAGAACTTTAAGCTTTATCTTAAGTTTTGTCGAATTCTGATTTTAAAATTGGCTGCCTTGAGCTGTAGCCTGGAAATTGCAGGGCAGTTGAAGGCCTGGGAGATGGGAAGTCGTGTAACTTTTTTTCTGGAATTAAAGGCAGAGCTTGTTAATGAAGAATATGTGTAAATTCAGACTGCTCGGAATAGTGGTCGTGCTAACGAATTGTAGGTGCCTGACTGTGGCTATTGAACGAGATGAGGCCTAAGGCGAGTTCTGTGGGCCCCTGTAGAAAGAGGTTCCTCTGCAGCGAGGAGAGAGCTGGAAGCCATGAGGCATCCTATTAAAGTTTCTCGTCAGATGTCCAAAATGTTGCTTTTATTCCCTTCTGACTTATATTTAGATATGAATTTCTGGTCATGCCCTATCTTTATCCTGCAGAGGCTTCTCAGGGAGAACAGCTTTCCATTCCATAAGACTGGTGATATCGTTGGGCATGTTGCATCAGGAAGGAAGAACTTGTGAAAAAGAAAAGTAAGGTGTTGCCTTAAGATATTGAGCTTTTAACAGCAGAACAAGTGCCTGACGCTGCTTCAGCGATTTGTTTGTTCCTGAAATGAAAGTGGGTAAACGTGAGTGGTGTTTATTTTATGGAAAATGCCAAGGAGCAAGTTTTGCTGCTCCAAGAGGTTAGTACCTGAGAGACCTTCCTCCCTGGAGGGAGGACTTTCTGTTTTGGCCCTGTTCTGGAGGGGAGTATGTAAAATCTCCAAGAAAAGATGGTTGGAGTAGGTACTTCATCTCCTGTGCTTCAGTAGTGCTGAGGTGGCCAGGACCAGGCCAGGGTAGGAGGATAGACTTGCACGTGGGCGCTTGAGGGCCGTTTCTTTCTCTAAGCTATAGAACAACCTCTGCAGGACACAGTTGCATTTGTATAGGGTGCACTTTGGCCTAGGAAGGATGTGGATTCCTTAACACTCTGAAGAGGAATGAACTTGGAATTTTCAGCTTAAACATGGAAGTGTGTCCTTCCTTCTCCAGCTCAGGCCATTTATAGTGTCCAACCCGGGTCTTTTTGGTGGAATCCCATCTGCTAGGCTGTCGTTCAATATTGGATAGTAGCACAAGTGGCAAATGGCCATATCGGCTGAATGAGAAAATGCATCTGCTCGACTGGACAGCAGACGAGAGGCTCAGGAAAAGGCCTTGTTTGGAAATCCTGTGGATGCTTTGGGACGGCACATCCCTGCGGGCCGAGGTCTTGGGCAGCTTCTCCGATCTGTGTGGTAAGAAATAACAGAAGAGGAAAAGGGTTGTTTCCAGTGGTGCATTAAAAGTTTTGCTGTTGACTGCACGTGACTAATTGAATAAAATAAACTGGTAAGTCTTAAAATACAATGAAGAAAACGGAATGACACCAGATCAACTTGTTTAGGATTCTGGTGCATCAGGGTAAATCTCTTCCCTACCTCTCCCCCTTATCTAAAACTGCAAGTAAATCGTAGAAGCTTCAAGATGACAATTTTCATAAAGAAAATCCTGAGTGAAGTAGGTGCTTCACTCCATATGAAGGTCACCAGATGAGATCCTGTTTTAAAGTTCCTCCTCCCAAAATGCTGAGGGAAGCGGCACCATTTTGGTGGCAACGCGGCGGGGAGGACCATCCCGTGAGGGGTGGAAAATCCAGGTCCTGCTGTGAATTTCTGTCCAGATCGGGTTTCTAGGGAAGGTGGACAATTGCACTCCGAACTACCTGGTTTTCTAGGCTGCACATTTGCAATTCTGTCTTAACAGCAAATAATAAATATACACTGGGACAGGGAGCTGTTGAGCCCCCTCCCTGGTCACATTTGGGTTTCTGGCCTTAGTTTTAGCCCAAGTGCTGCTGCAGCAACTCAAGCAACTTAATTGAAATTATTTTTTGGTGGTGCTGTGGACATTGGACTAAGTCTTCCCTGCAGAAAATAGCTTGTTTTGGCAGTCCTTGCTGTGGAATGGACCCTGTTTTGTTGGCAAAGCTACAGAGCACAGGGACTTAATTTGAAAGCGTGT